ACTTACACATTATTAAATTTAGAAAATAAGTTTACAAAATAGATTTATCATTTTTCTTATGAAATTTGTTCGTGTGTGGGTTTGGGTGAAGTAAAGCAACGTTGGTTGATGGTGCTAAGAAATTTTAAAACCCATTAATCTATCACAAATTTTATACACTTTCAATTTATGAAAAATTCAATCATAAAAGACTTACATCAAGTGGGATTGATACAGTCTGATTAGATTTTGTATATTTAAAAAAATTTAAAATTATTTTGCTTATGGCTCCGTTCGATAAGTTAGTTGGAGCTAATTTAACCCACTAAAAAATGAAATAGACAAAAACTAAACAAGATAAATTGTCATATCCAAACTATAATCATTTTACTTTTTTTCCTCACAAAATTACAACCAAAAAAAAAAAAAATCAAAAGTTCTTTCCAAACGGAACTTTTTGAGTAAGGTTAAATTAGTTAAAAAATCAAAAAATCGAACTAAAAAAGTTCTTAATTGTTATTTTTGCTATTGTTGGGGGGTTTGTACAGATTAGCAATAAAAATCAAAATTTATTATTTTGTCAAACTATGTGCCAAATTTGGCACAAAGTTTGGTAATGTTATAATTCGTTGGGGAGTAGTACAGAATAATAGGAAAAATCATAATTTATTATTTTGCCAAACCATGTGTTAAATTTGGCACAAAGTTTAGTAATGCTACAATTCATTGGGAGGTGGTACACAGTCACAGAAAAAATTAGAATTTGTTAGTTTGTCAAATCATGTGCCAAATTTAACACAAAGTTTTGCAATGCTATAATTTGGCAACTATTTTGGTATGCCATTGGAGCTTTTTTGTTGGGTTCATCACTCCAGTTGTGTAGGATCCACTGTATTCAAACAATTTTCTCATGCCAACTCATTTGTCATACATGTATAACAATAGTTCGTGAAACAAACCTGATAGCTACACTTAGAATTGCAAACAAATATAGTTAAGTAGGATTGTATATAAGCTTGGTTTGTTTATTAATCAAACTCAAATTCAGCTAGAATATACGATTGAACATGCTCAAACTTGACTTTTTAAATATTAAACTCAAACACAACTCAAACCTCCAATGAAAATAAAAAAAATAGCGTTATTGTATGCATTATAACCCCTTTTCTGTAGGCTTGAAAAGATGAATTTCGGAGGTAGATACTTAGAGCGCTAGCTTCATACGATACATTTTCTATTTATGTCTGTTTTGTTGGGGATGAAGTGAAGAGTGAAAATCTATATTTAACTGTTGCAGATTTTCATTAAATGAAAGGCTTAATTATAGATATGGGATATACTCAACAATTTGCTGGTGCTTCAATTTTTTGCTTTGTGCATAAAACATTCATGTGTGTCAAGCTCATTGTTAATCGAATGAGCTGAAATTTAAATTCGAATTCATAATTCACGGCAATATATAAAGGTTTTAAGAATTAAATATTTGTCAAAAGTATAAAAATTTGTTGTAAAAAAATATTAGGAATCAATTCTTGTCATCGTTAAGGTTGTCATTAAAAGGTCATTCTAAACAGTTAAAAAACAAAAACTTTTAGCAACAAAAATTTAAAAATGTTGTTATTAAATACAATTTAGGACCAAACAACTTGGTGCCAAAATAATTTACAATTTGAGATAAACTTTGATTCCAAAAGGATAGTAATTGATTATTAAATGTCCAATTTTATTGCTAAAAAACCAATAATGTCATTTTAACAACTAAAATATTTCGTTATTCAAAAAGTGATTTTATTCCTAAATTTTTATCTATAACCTCATTTGGTGCCAAAATAACAAAAAAACTCAGTGACATAATGTTCTTATATAAGATTTTTTGAACCAATAAGTCATATTTAGTAAAATTGATAATATTATTAGTTTTTTTTTATAATTATTAAAACTAAGAACATTATTAATTTTGCATAATAATGTTTCAGATAATTATTTCACTAACTGATGAAAAAAAGAGAGAGCATGAGATCAAATGTTTTTGCCCTTCTACTTATTGGTTTGATTCAACTACCGAATAAAATCGAGAACATTATTAGTTTTTTCATTTTCAATTTTTTTTTTTTTGGTTCCAGTTTTGCATGTTAATGTTCCATTATTATACTCCTTTATAGACACAAAATTTTCAGTTTTGTACACACAAAAAAAAATAGTTTGTTCAATTTTTTTAAAAAAAAAAAAAAACCATGATTTTTTTATTGCGCGCGCGCACACACACACACACATATTTTTAATTTTTTCAATTTGAAAGTTGATGTTTTAAAGTTTTGAAAATGAAAATAAATGTCAAATCATCATATTCCTTTCCTTTATAGATAATCATAAATGATGAGCAATCCTTGTTTGAAAGGCAATTCTGACTATTAAAAATTGAATGTGACTTGAAGGTTCAAAAATCTTAGTTAGTACTTAATGGAGCATAAGTTCATAAATTAGAATTTGCGTGTAAATGTCCCTTACATTTATAATCCTATATTTCACATTTTGTCATTTTGGTCTTTACACTTTTATTTGACTTAATTTTGACCTTTGTTTTAAATTTTATGTCAATTTAATACAATTGATAATATCATTAGTGATTTTTAAGTAAATTTATAATTTTACCCTTAAAATTTTGATACATGACACTTATGTTCATATTTTCTATAAAAAATACTAACGTTGTGTTTGGTTAGGAGATTTGAAAAGGGATTTAAAAAAAAAGAAGAGAAAATTTAAGTGAAATGTGAATGAAATATATTTACATTTCACTTAGTTTTACATAACTTTTCATTTTTCTTTCCAAATCTCTTCCCAAATCCATCAACCAAACACAACGTAAGAGTTGTAATCAATTAGATTAAATTAATACAAAGTCACAATTCAAAGTCAAAATTGAACCAATTCAAATTACATGATTTAATATAACACAAAGACAAAAATACAAAACTACCGTTGTAACTTGACTAATTTATAATATATGTATATATATATATATGTATATATCTTACATATCTATTCATACGTATAACACATTTTACATATTTAGATGCGATGGAAGCCCATGTGCCACCGCCAATGTCAACGAAAGATCCATTGCAATCAAAATTCATGTTTATCAGAGTCTTAGATTGTGATCTTTATGTTTTTGCTCTTGAATTGGGTCCAAAAGATTCAGTCTAGGATACATTTCCTAATTATTATTTAAAGAAATATAAGAGTAATCTAAATGCACATAATTTTACATTTAAGGGACCCTTTTTAGTTACCTCGAATGAACTATTTGGCATAGTATATATATATATATATTCTTACGTGTAAACCATACAAATGGAAGTACTTCTTCCCTCAACCCTTATTAGATCAATGATGGAAGCTTGCTAAAACATATTAGAAGAGATAATAGGATTTAGTTTGGGTTGGAACACTTATTATCTAGGGACAATAATACGAAGAATACTAACAAAGATGCCAGTAAATATAACATGTCGGTTAATATTTTACCTAATATGTATGTTTGTTGGCACATTTGTTATTGTTCCTAACTCACTATTGTATTTGAAGCACATCAGTTGCTAGTTTCGGTGGATATGCCTTGATAATTGACTGTAAAGCTGGAATTTGGATGATGTTGTAGCGCACAAATCCTCCTTCATTTAGTATCTTTTTCCATTCAAGCTTAGTCCTCTCCTTTCCACCTCTAACCAATGTGAGCATCATTAGGTCCATTGCCATGCCTGTGTTGTCAAATAGGTCATTGCCACCAGGTTGCAAAACCGTATCAATTATAACAATCTTTCCAGTTTTCTCTGGTATTGCTTTTCTGCAGTTTCTCAATATTTGGACACAATCTTCATCACTCCAGTTGTGTAGGATCCACTGCATTCAAACAATTTTCTCATGCCAACTCATTTGTCATACATATATAATAATAGTTCGTGAAATAAACCTAATAGTTACGCTTAGAATTTCAAACAAATGCAATTAAGTAGGATTATATATAAGCTTGGTTTGTTTATTAATCAAACTCGAATTCAATTAGAATACATGATTGAACATGCTCAAACTTAACTCTTTAAATGTTAAACTCAAACATAGATAAAACCTCCAATGAAAATAAAAAAAATTGCATTATTATATACATTATAACCCCTCTTCTGTAGACTCGACATGATGAATGTTGGAGATACTTAGAGCGCTAGCCCCATACGATACTTTTTCTGTTTATGTTTGTTTTGTTGGGGATGAAATGAAGAGTGAAAATCTATATATATTTAACTGTTGCTGATTTTCATTAAATGAAAGGCTTAATTACAGACATGGAAAATACTCAACAACTTGCTGGTGCTTCAATTTTTTGCCTTTTGCATAAAACATTCAAGTGTGTCAAGATCATTATTAATCGAATGAGCTGAAATTTAAATTCGAATTCATAATTCACGGCAATATATAAAGGTTTTAGGAATTAAATATTTGTCCTCAAAAGTATAAAAATTTGTTGCAAAAAATATTTAGGAATCAATTTTTGTCACAACCTAAACCTTCCCTTGAATTGCTTTCTTGCATCAATACACAACCTAAACCTTCCCTTGAATTACTCTCTTGAATCAATTTGTCAATTTTTGTTGCAAAAAATTACTCTCTTGCATCAATACACAACCTAAACCTTCCCTTGAAGCATCACAATATACAGAATAACGCAAACCCCTCTCCGGAATAATCAATACTAGAGCAATGGGGAGTCTAACCTTGAGCTCTTGGAACGACTTTTCACAAGTCTCACTCCATACAAACTTAACTTCTTTTCTCGTCAACTTAGTCAAAGGTGAAGCAAGTCTAGAGAAATCCTTTACAAACTGACGGTAATACCCGGCCAACCCCAAGAAACTACGAATCTCGAAAGCATTCTTAGGTTGTGCCCAATCTTGCACTGCCTCTATCTTGGATGAATCTATAGTCACCCCTTCCCTTGACACTACATGCCCTAGGAATTTAACCTCTTCCAGCCAAAAGTAACATTTCCTAAACTTAGCATACAGCTTATGGGCTCTAAGTAACTCAAGTACTACTCGTAAATGTTCCTCGTGTTCCTCCTCAGAAGGTGAGTAAATCAAAATGTCGTCCACAAAGACAACCACAAAATGATCTAAGAACTCACGAAAAATCCAATTCATTAGATCCATAAACACCGCAGGTGCATTGGTTAGCCCAAAAGACATCACAAGAAACTCGTAATGGCCATACCGCGTACGGAATGCCGTCTTCGGGATATCCTCCTCCCTTACCCTCAACTGATGATAACTCGATGTCAGGTCTATCTTAGAGAGACAACAAGACCCTTTCAACTGATCAAACAGATCATCTATACGAGGCATTGGGTACTTATTTTTAACAGTCACCCGGTTCAACTTCCTGTAATCAATACAAAGCCGTAATGCTCCATCTTTCTTTTTAGCAAAAAGAGCCGGCGCTCCCCATGGTGAAGTACTATGGCAAATAAAACCCTTATCTAACAATTTCTAGAGTTGAATCTTTAACTCACTCAATTCAGCAGGTGCAAATCTATATGGAACCATAGAAACCGGTGAGGTGGCAGGCACTAAATCAATAGAGAACTCGATTTCTCGGTGAGACGGTAAACTAACAAGATCCTCGGGAAAGACATCTGGGTATTCACAAACTACTCTCGGCAACTCAACCTGAATCTCATCACACTCACTATTTAGAAAGCTAGCAAGAAAACAATTAAGTTCACTCCGCCCACGCAGATCATATACCGGTGATAAGACTTTATCCACCCGGTTCCCCAAGAAATAAAAGCAATCACCGCTCGAGGTACATACAATAACTTTATGGTAGTAGCAATCTATGTAATGCCCCGTATTTTATCACATGGATAACATTATCAATATTCATTAATTAAGTCTATTTACAAATAATATTTCATCCTTGGATAAAATGATGAATAATTAAATATACATATTCCCTCTCGCTATACAACAATGACATTTGAAGGCTTACAATAAAAGAGGGGATACTACTCTTTACAAAAAAATAACACTCAGCCAAACAACAAATAAAGTAGTACAATCCATCACTACATTATACTTATGAAATGGTAAAACCCATTGTTTGATCTTCAAATCCGAAAAGTATTCCCTGTACACATGTACAGGCAGGGGGTGAGCAAGCTCATCGAACAATCTCATATTAAAACATTAAAAGATATACGGGTACAAAGATACTCCTACATATATGTGAAATCATATCATGTCAAAACCAAATGATTCTATTACATAAACTCTTAAATCCAATTTATTTAATTAACCACAATTAGTTAACTTAAATAAATAAGCATGCCTCAAATGCAACATGGCATCCTTTTCAATTCTTTCAATTACCCATTTGTCAATTGAATCAAATAATTAAACAATTCACAATGACATCTAACAAAGCATTAAATGCATTTTATATAGTCTTACGAGATGAATGCATATGCCATGTCATGCTAAAATATTTTCTCATCTTTTGAAAATCTTATGCACAATGCTAATTTCAAAACACATTAATCCAACAATTTTAATAAAATTCCAAGGTGGTAAATACGACTCAGGTAATCCATAGGCTGGTATCTGCAAGTAGACTATACAAGTACTACCAATTCATTTCCAGTTTATATATGCTACTCAATTCATGAGTTAAATTCATTATCTTTCAACAACTAAAATGAGACTACAACTTAATGATTTTCCAATTATGCAAAACTCACATGAACACTTCAAAACTGCCATTTTACGGATATTTCGTCTGAAGGAATCGGAATCCATTTATATATAAAATTTCGGGTCTTTCACCTAGGACACTTCGGCCAACTTGCTTTAAATGGAGTCCATCCGCTTTCTCTTCCCAAACAAATATACATATGCAATGTATTTATAAACATAATCACATATGGAGTACATCTCCTTTCTCCTCCCAATAAACATACATATACAATGTATCTATAACATGGTCATATTCAATGACACCAACAATGGATTAGCATTTAATCGCCTAATCTTCATGTAATTTCTACAACAATCATAGCTATCCCCCACCGATAGCCCAATACAATTATTTCTAAAGAGATATTCAATATCAAAATAAATCGTTTATTCAAAACTTTCATAAGTGAGATAATACATATCCAAAATCACCATTTATAATCACAACCTTCCAATTTCACGTTTTCAATGTTAATCTCAATTTAGTCATTTCAAGACAAATTTATAACATATTATATATCAAACTTCCAAAGTTCCATCATTTCTCATCCTTCCGAGAAATCCCTCATTTAAATGCAACATGGTAAATTTTCACCGATAGCCAAAATAGTTATCTCTAATATATTAATTAAAAGATAACAACATGGACATACAATCCAACATATAACCATAACCTGGAATCTCCCATGATTCCCAACATTTAGAAACAAATCATATTCCACATTTTATCAAATATGAACAACTACACTAGTTTTCATATTACAATCACATCTGGTAATCTCTCAAGGTCCATTTCTAACAGTGTCGGTTTTATTCCAATAGACACATTAAGCAAAATAATACCGTTAATGCCCAAGAAAATATCATTTTATTTCCAAACTCATTCTCCAAGCATTATTCAACTATGACATCCTATCTTGATCAAAAGCCCCATAAGTTAAACAAAATTCCTTTATTTTCTTTAAAAATGCTCTTTTGGTCACAAACCGGTAAAAATTTCAAAACCGATCGAATTGATGTCCGTTTTTGTTCAAATTTAAAACATAGCTCTTTCATAACCTTACAAACATATTCCAACTTTACACTTTTGCAATTTGGGTATCAACTCTTTATTTTTCTCAAAATTTCTCTTTTAAGCAAATAAATCACAAATTTCTCAAAAATTCTAATTAAATTATATACAACTCTAAGCTCCATATAATCAAGCAAAAGTACATAAAGAAGTGTACGAAAAATCCCTACTTAACAATTTGCACAATATTCCTCAATATCAATTTATTTTTCTCAAAAAATAAATTCCAAAACTCAAGGATGAGATAAATATTTAAACATTAATTTCTCAAAATAAATTATTTAGCCATGATGTAGATACAATCCATACAACTATTAAATTCTATTTTCGAATTTCTTTTTACAAAATTAACAACACAAAGTGATTTTTTCAAAATCAATCTCAAAACACCAACATTCTTAACATTTCAACAACATAATTTTTCTTCCAAAAATTACCAAACAAAAATCTAAAAATATATCTATATGCAATACCTCTTATAATGATATATTTTCTCAAAATAACCCTAACATAGTTTTAATATAAAAATATGAAGAAAGTCCTTACCTCAAATAATGAAGAAGAACAGATCTAGAAGGCATATCTTGCCCGATCATGAATCCGAGACTACCATTGCGAAGATTACGACGAGCTCTCCAACTTTCATTAACAAACTTTTGCAAAATCTCACTCTAAAGACTCCCACTCGAACCTCAAAGGTTGAGCAAAAATGGTGGAATAGGGAAAAAGAGAGAGAACGATTGAGAGGGCAAAGAGAGTTAAACTCTTTGCTCAATGCAATAGAAAACCAATGCAATAGAATTGAAAGGAAGAATAAATGATGGCAAGAAGACAAAAGGGGGGGCCACCTACATGGGTGTGTTTCCCAAAGCTTCATTTTTCCCCAAAAATATAATTTTTGTAATAATACCTCAAAATTTTATAATATAAATTATAAAATGATATAATTTTTCTCACCACAAAATATAATATTTTTGTACACCAAAAAATATAATATTTTGATCACTACGAAATATACACAATTTCATTATTTATAAAATATATAATTTTTCGCCATATGGTACACACTATAAAATCAATTATCAAATATTATTATAATCCTATATAATAAGTAATAACAACTCCTAAAGTGGTTACTACCAATTACCTAATAAAAAAAAGACCAATCAGTTAAATATGAGTCATTAAACAAACTCAAATTAAATTAAATCTAAATCATGAGTCTCACCCATAAGTCAAATATGGTCCAATTATATACCAAAATAGTCCCAACAAATTTATCTCAAATCTTGGTCCGAACACCCAAAACTCAATTTCAAATTCTGCTATAAATTAAATTGAACACCAATCATTCCCTGAATTTTCATAAAATAAATACTCATCATTTAATTCTGAAATTGTTATCCAACATGCTAGACTCATATGGGAACAACATACTAAAATATCATAATTTTCTGAGGTTGGTTACTATTTTTAAAAAATACAAAACCAAACTGTTTTCGCACAGAATTTTACACAGCACTCCAAATTCGAAAATTTGCTCAATTAAATTATGCACTGACTATTAAAAAAAATTGGGTTATTACAATCTATAACAGCCCGGTATGACGATAACCAATCCATACCCAACAAGACATCAAAACTCGACATATCTAGCAACACAAAAGCAAACGGAAGTCGACGCCCGACAACTTCTATTTCACAATCACGACAACCCCGGTCTAAATCAACCGTACCCCCAACAGGTGACTCCACTTTGAGTGGTGGCACTAACTGTGCCACCTCTAACCCCAATGCAAAAATAAATGTAGCAGATATAAATGAATGGGATGCACCCGTGTCTATCAATACATTAGCCAAAGTATTGCATACAACAAAAATACCTCTCATAACTGAGGGTCCTGTCAATTGCTCCGGCACGGTAACAGCATACACGCGCCCCTGTGGCCCCTGATTAACTTGCTCTCCTCTTGGAGCATAGGCCTAATGTACTGACTGAGCTGAAGCGGCTTCCTGATTAGCTCGTGAAGCTTGAGCTGAATGAACCTGCTGGTGGCTCTAAGTTTGCCTCGACCCTGATGCGCCAGATGTGCCTCCCAACTGTGGGCAAGTTCTCTTCATGTGCCCTAGCTGACCACACTGGTAACAATTAAACCCTTGTCCCCTATTCTAGGACTGAGACTAACTCTGCGACCGGTTAGGTGGCGGTGGTGGCAACATCAACTGCCCTTCTCCTTTCTGTGGGCACGAAAAGGCTTTGTGACCCGGCTGGCCACACTTGAAACACGTGAAGCCACTCGATGTACTTCTTCCCGAACCCAAACTAGGCAAAGGAAAAGTGGATTTAGACTGCTGTGGTTGGGGCTGAGACGAAACGGTACCCCTGCTCTTCTTATTCTGCCTATAGTCTCCTTGAGACTCTTGGCCCCTAGACCTTGAACTTCGAAGCCTCTCCTCCTCGGCTTGCATGGAAACCTCTATGTATGCCGCCGACTCTAATAGATGGTCATAGTTCCGAATCATGTTCCCAACAGTCTTAAAGAAAATTTTGTTTTTCAACTTTTTCTCGAATTCAATACAACAACACACTTCCATTTCTACCAATTCTGGTGCAAATCTAGATAGACTAGAGAAGACTACCTCGAACTCGGCCACAATCATATCGAGTTGTTTGAGGTCCTTGAACTCTTGCCTCAATCTCTCCCTAGCAGCGGGAGGTAAATACGTGTCTTGGAAAGCAACTACAAAGGCTTCCCATGTTGGCTCCACTCTACTCTTGGCATACTTCCACCACTAACCCGCAACCCCTTTAAGATAGTAACTCGCTAGAGTCACTCTCAACTCGCTATCATCAATGTGAAGCATCTTAAATGTCTTCACAGTTTGTTCGAGCCATTCATCCACTTTCTTAGGCTCGAGGCCACCATGGAACTCATCCGGTTTAGCCCTAAAAACTCCCTAGTAAGGAAACTTGCGCTTGCCTCTAAGGTGTTCTCTCGGGCTTGGTTCTCTGCCCTCAACAAGTTCATAGCCCCTGCTATTTCTCTAGCTAGGGCCCCCATTGCGGTTTGACCCACTTGCTCCACTTGTTCGTCCATATTAGCTTGGCCTAACTCTTCCTCTTACACCGGAACGTCATGGACCGGTACCTCATGCACACCCCAGCGAGGCCTACCATGTCTCCCGCCTCTACCATCACGGTTTTGGCCTATTCCTGACATCCTATAAAGAACAGTAGAAATAATTTAGCACACTAACACATACGTGCCCGCAGTTTACCTCACACGTCTAATCACCACAATTCTATATATTTCACTACATTATAGACATTTCAATTTCATTCCACATGAGCACTTAGTCATGTAAACACATACGGATTATTCTTTCATGATGAAATTCGTCCCATGAAAAACTAAGAATTCTTAGTAGAATGAGTATTGATCAAGTATCCTTTTAAAAAGACCTCTAGGAATTTAACAGGCGCAAACAACATCCCAAAAGTCCAACCCCATACCCACATAGCCACATAAGCATGTTATCACATAATCACAAAATGTATAACACCTTCCTATCATGCAATCTACCATGCAACATGAACCCATCGTGGTTAAACAACCACTTCCCACGAGCTCTAAGTATTCAAACCCGGTAACTCTGATACCAAGTTGTAACGCCCCCATTTTCATGTCGAAATGGTTATACAATAATCATAGCTCTTCAAAGTAAAACGGATAATAAATCCTCATACTTGCATTACATGATGTAAATAGTCTCCAGCGATAATACAATTAGTCCACAACAATTAATTAAACAACAAATACCCCCAAGGGTTTACAAGTTTCCGAGTTTTGAGCCTGGTTACACTGAACGGTTATTCAAACCCACACATATAAAGCCCTTGGCTTGCAATCAGAGTCACAGCAAATGAGCACATCATGCTCTCTGCACACACTTCCACACCTTCTGTTAGGCAGAATCACAACATCTTTTCCTGCACAAAAATCTCGTAGGGTGAGCATAAAGCCCAGTAGAGAATTCTTCACAAAGTATATACATTTTACACAAGTCTCAAGAGATGGAATGCTTATGCCATGCCATGCTTTTTTGGGAAATAAGTCACACCTTCATCTTTTGAAAACCAACATACTCAATGATGTCGTGCCATATCAACTGCTCAGCAATTATCAAATTTTATTCGAGGGGCGGTAAATACAACTCTGGTAATCCCTAGGTCAGTGTCTGCAAGTAGACTATACAAGTACTACCAATTTCTCATTTTTACAAGTATCAACTAGAGGGCTCGACAACCATAATCTGTCATTTTTACCAGTATCAACTGGAGGGCTCGACACCCATAATCTGCATTTTTACCAGTATTAACTGGAAAGCTCGACACCTATTCTCTACACTACCTTTCAAGACTTACCACTGTATTTACCCCAAAACCATTTTATGAAAACTTGTTTCTCAACATTCCTTTCACAATGCAAGTTTTCAAATCAATTTTCAAAGTTCAAAGTAATCAAATGATTTGATATGCCAATGCAACAATAATCAATACAATGCAACAATTCTTCCATTTCCAGTTCTTTAACACAATACTACTATTGTGATCAAAATTTCCATTTCTCATTTCAATGCAATTTCACAAGATGAATAAATACTTTTATTTCAATTCATCCAAGGGATAACATAATTCCCACATTTCAAACATTCCCAACAACTTAGTCATTTCAAGACTACATCAACACCTTTAAACCATAATTTCTAAAACTTCAACAATTATCTTGTTCAATGGGAAATCATCATTTATATGTAATAAACAAACAATTTTCAAACATCATTTATTTTGGCACCCAAAATAAATATAACTACATATTCCAAAAATTTTCAACATCTTTCTTAAAAATCCCCAATTTCTAGGTTTTCTCACCAAAACTATTCATCTTCAAATATTTGAGAAGATCTCACCAAGACAACTTTCTTTCATCAACATACTTCAAAAAAACCCCCAATTTCTATCTCAAGGGATCAAATAGTAAACCCATTTTCAAAACCACTCTTTTTCTTGAATCAACAATTAATTTTCAAAACTAAACAAATGATGATTTCGAAAGTCATCTTGATCTTGCAAAAACATATATATAACTCAAAGAAAATCCCTACCTCACGTTTAAAGAAGAAAAGAGTTTAAACCCCCAAAATCAACGACGATGAAACTCGATCTCCATAGCACATAACGAAGCCCTCGAGAAGTTACACAACTTTGACGAATGGACTATGGCCAAAATCCTAATCGATTTAGAGAAATCAAAGAGAGAAGATGGTTTCTAGAGAGAGAGGCTCTAGATCTGGATCTTGGAGACTTTTAGAGAGAGAGGATTGCAAAAAGTGATCTAAAATGTCGCTTTCGCGAGCTGATAAAGCGCGGTCCGCTCAAGCGGAGAGTTTGACGCTCGAGCGTCAGACACATAAATTTCACCCGCTCGAGCGCCAAGACACAACAGCAAGGCACTACCCGCTCGAGTGCAATGAGACCCGCTCGAGCGTAGAATACACTCGTCTAGTATTTTACAGACTTCAGACAGTCGCTCGAGCCCCATAGGGGCCGCTCAAGCTCAGACCCGCTCGAGCGTAATAAACGCCGCTCCAGCGTGAAAAACACTTCTGCAACATTTCTTTCAGACGCACAAAGTACTGATTGATTGCAAACCCCGCTCGAGGGCAAGAAGGCCCGCTCGAGCGGAAGAGCCAAATTCTTTGCAACAAGGGCTTGGAAAAACAAGCAACCAAGTTGTTCCAAACACACAACTACAACCCAATAACCAACATTAAGGGGAAGACAAGGGAAGCAAGACATGAACCACCATCCAAACCATACAAACCCGAGTCCGAAACACCACAAGAGACGGGTCAAAATCGGGGTTGCTATAACCTCCCCCTCTTAAAGAATTTCGTCCCCGAAATTGCAAATCAGGCTCTAAAACATAATTGAACTATTCACAACCATGTTATTCCCATAAGTTCAACACCATGACCCACTCTCTGGTCATCTATTCACACCGACTCGATTCACAAGTCCCAAATTAAAATGAAATTTTCAATTTTCCCAAAACATTTACAATGTTTAAGCAAAGTCCAAATTTTCAAAAAAAATCGTACATAGTATATACAATGCTTCCAAAAATGATACAACATCATCAATATTCCAAATTTTCAAAACATAAGCAATGTTTATATTGAATCCTTGTTCTTCCCAAACAACCATAACATATACAATGTTTCTATAAGTTAAAACATATACAATGCTTAGACTTTTCATTAATACAATAAATTCTCAAAACATGCTCATGTATCAACAAACAAATCCGGATATTTCTCTTGGACTTCTAATTCACGTTCCCAAGTCGCTTCCTCGACTCCGTGATGTTTCCACAATACTTTTACCAAGGTAATTGTCTTGCCTCGCAAA